AATGATAATTTCAGCTACCATAATTACATAAAAATTCAGGTATGATAATTAAGATTAATATTGACTGTTAATATATAAAGATTACAGATGTAAACCAAGTCTCTGGTTATTTTTATACCGCTCACTTATTTTTCTTGCCAAGCTAATAATAATCACAATTCAGTTAAACTGTTGTATAGAGACCGGATAAACTTGGCTTTCTGAACTGCCTCAATAAATCTGAAATTTTAACAATCAGACACATTTGATCTTTGATGCACAAATATGCTTTGTAATAAATAATTATCTTTACGGAATTACGGTTTCCAAACTTTCTTACCGTAATTAGTTACTATTACGGAACTTTTATTTTATTTTAGGAATATCCTATATACAGAAAGGTTCTTTTTTTGGAATATTTTAATGATTATAATTATATAAAAATGAGTTTATTTGAATATGGATTTGGTAAAAGTAGCTCGAGATCAAGAGGCTCAAGGTATGTTTTATAAATATCGATTCTTCCAATTCCTTCTTTCTTTGTATAAAATAAAAAATTTATTATTTTTGCAGTTTACAAATAAATGATTTATTAATACTTTTAAAAACAAAAATGGTTACCTGAACATAAATAGTTTCATTATGACCATTTATATCCATAAACAAGTATTTTGCACAATTTAATATTTTTTTTAAATGGTTGCAATAAAATAATTTTTTGGCCGGCTCTTCCAAATTTTTACCAGAGTTTTGCATTCCAAACAGGAAAAATTAAGTACTTTGTTGCCTGTTTCCTAGCTGTATTATGAAATTGAAGCGGCTCTCGATAATGGCATAATTCGATAAATACATAAAATTTGCTGTGCCAGACCTATTACTACTATGAATTTAACGAACTAAGAAAGTGCTGTATCGTCTAAAACATAAACACCACTTTTTGGTCAACAAAACCGTGGGTGGTGCTTATATCGATATTTTTGTGTCACAAATTTATTATCAGCTCTAATTCATTTTCTTCAAAGAAATGCAAAAGCCAAACGCTCTCCATACACTGCTATTGAAAAGCTCAATTTTTTGTTTCAAACTCTTACTGGTGCTTATTGCTTAGTCCTAACAAATATGCATATGAAGATTTATATTTCTACTAGAAAATAATAATTGTTAATATATAAAATAAATTTAATGTATTCTTTCTCAATAAAAGATTTATAATAAATATACCTGCATATTTCTATCCATGATATCTGACATTGCTAAGGTCATTAAATCTTTATTTTAGTATCCATGTGTATTACACGTTGAACACAACCAATCAAGATTCTCTATATTTAAATAGTCAATTTGCCAATCTGGTCATAAATTGTTTTTCTTTGCCCTCAATTGTTTTTTTCCTTTTAAAATCTAGATTTGGATAATGTAATGCCACCAGGTCCATTAGTTTACTACACATTCTTGCACATGTAATTAAATCTTTTGATACCTAATGTATGATTACAATAAAATAAAAAAATAACACATCTC